AGTGTTTGTTTTAAAGGAATTTAGCAAATGGTACTGTCCTTTCCAGAGCTGTTCTGGTCAATAGAAAAATAACTGGTACATGTCATGGAAAATTTCTAGCAAGAACCTTAAAGCAACTGACTAAAAGATATTTCCAGAAGGGGACCTTTGGTTGCCCATCCTGGCTCTTGACTCATGTGAGTTTAGCTATCTGTGCTGCAACCGTGGTATAAACAGGCTGTAGTTGCCTGCCTGTACATGGGTACATTTCTGACAGTAGGTAAGATCAGCCTGTGACCAGGCCTTGAGGATGTCCTATTCCTTTGCATGGTTGTATTGACTGTTAGCACATCATGGTGGTGGGCCATGGTTCCCAATAAAGGGCCATTTTAGAAAAACGTCCTTTGTGTACATAGGGCTTTGTTGTGAAACCCCATAAATGCATTGGAAATAGAGCAGTAAAAGGGAAGGTTTATTGCTGTTAAAAGGTAACCTGAAGATTTGGGTCACTGGGTGCTCCTTGATCATTTTGTTGGCGCTTGTAATCGATTTACTTTGTTCTTGCACTAACATGTGAGTGTTTGCGTTTCAGCGGTAGTTGCAGGATACAGAGCAAACTACAAAAAGAAAAACACCTGAAGCAGCTGGAGGCCACCAATCTATTTTGTGGCTCAGTACAGTACATTTGGGGAGCAAGATGTGTCCACCATAGTGTGAGGACTGTCATTCTACAAGGCAGGGAGATGGTAGAAAGATCATGAGATTACAGAGAAAAGGGATGAAAGGACTGTGGGATGGTGGACAGGTATTTTTAACCTTCTATTGTGGTCTTTTTTTTATATTATATAAGCTCTGTCAGACAGTACATTTATATCCTTCACCCTTTTACACATTATAATATTAACATACCTTTTACACCTTCCTTTTTGAAGCTGTAAAAATAAAAAAAAAATGGCTTCTTCATCTTAGTTAGCAGAGATAATGGCTGTCTTCACAGTATGCATACACTGACTATACCACCAGCTCCCAGACACGCGTTTGAAGTGCAGGGTATTATTCTGGAGGCAAACAAGTGCACTGGTGGCAGATTTTTCTTGCAAGTCTCAGCCCTTTGGACCCAGCGATGCTGAAAGGTACCTGAATTCAGGAGTTCCCAGTGCCAGGATAGCCTTGCTGGAGCTGTCAGCATAGTTTCCAGGGCCCAAGAACGTGGGTGTTTTATGTCATACCTTGCTGCTTCTCTGATGTGGCCATGGGAATGTTTACTAGCTATTGTAACTAAAATACAGCTGGCAGACAGGAAGAATATGTAGATGTCAAGAACAGAGTGGGATAGAGATGAGGAAGGTAATTTGATTGATTGTTTTCTCAAATAACAGTAGAGATAATATTTTGTCCTTAAACATTACGTTACTGCTAGGCTGTGGACGGCATTGCTTTCAACACTGTGGAAACTCTGCCATGAGCTGTGCACTTCTATATTCATGCAATAGGAAGCATTAACCCTGCAGCTGTCTCTTCTGCCCTCTCCACTCCCCTCCACCCTGAAAGTCCAGCACTTTTTCCCTGTGCTCAGCAGCTGTCCATGCAACTTTCTAGTTGTAAGCAAGCTGTTCTGAAGAAGCAGATTTTTTAACAAGAAAAACCCCATAAAGAACAAGGAATTGGTTAAACCTATGGAAAGCCATGTGGACAGCTTTGCTTAACAAAGTGCTCACACTGGTTTGCCCAGGAGATGGTGTGCACCAGGGCTTCAGAGGGGACCTAAGGACCAAGTGTCTAAAGCCGCTTCAGGGTGTCAGAAGGCACCTTGCTGTCAACGAATTCCAGCTGAAATGGATGGGCATGAATGCTCCCTGGGAAAAGAGTTATTCTAGAGACTGTACTGAATAGAGCAGGTGATAGTTCAAACAGGTTTGCAAGTTAAAATTGGTTTTATTGTATTTGTATTGTGGGCTGTAGTGAGAAAAGTAAACAGAAAGCAAATATTGATAGTCGGGAATAACAGAGTTTCACTGAAAAGACAGACACTTTGTGATTTGCAACCTTTATGATGTTGCAGGGTAAGCCGCATCTGTCACACGTAATATATATCCTTTGAAATTCACAGGTTTTCAGCTGCCCAAGTCCCTTAGGTGTCCTAGGAAATACCTAGATTTTGTGAACTGAGTAGAACCTTATTAATTTGAGATCGAATTCAATCTTTTAGCTTGGGTTAAACAGCAGCTTTAAAAAAAAAAGTCTCAAAAAGAGATTATTGCAATTGAAAGACATAATTGATTAATCCTCAAGTAATAAATTTTTCAGGATTAAATATAATTTCACTTGGTGTTAATAATATTCTTTTGAACCAATTTGTGAGCTTCCTTAACATGTGTTTTTTTGTTTTAATAATCCCCTTATGTTAGTGACAGGAATTTTCATTTTCCACCTATATTAAAATCTCAAGACAGGATTAAAAAGCACTTCTGCTTTGCAGTTAGGTGATATTAAAGCTCCTTCCTTTTCCTGCACTCCGAGATTTTACCAAAGCCACTGCTGGCTGCTGCGATAAAGGAAAAAGGCCTGTGGCATTTCTTTTCCTTTTCCTGGCGCAGCAAGGGGCCAAGCCGGGTGAAATCTCTCCCTCAAGCCCCGTGGACAGAGAAGTTTGCTCTGTCCTGGGCCGCCCACCCGTGCAGACCCTGGCTGGATGCTGCGGAGCCAAGGACAGGGTCAAGCCTGGGGGTGGAGGTGGGCTGCAGCGCAGCGCGCAGGGAGCTGAAACCTCTCACTTGCCTCCTGTTAGGACATGGTTTTAGGGGTGTAAAGAGTATTTTGAGCAGAATAGGATTTAACCTTTGCTCTAATCTTCAACTAGAGATGAGCTTTATGGGTTTTTTTTCAAGCTTACTTTGTTAAATCATTAAACAACAGCTAGAGAGCAGAGGGAAAGAACAAGCCCCTAATTTGTGTCTTTTCCTTTCATGGCTCACTGGTTTTGCTAAGAACATCTTCAGATTTGGTTGGGATATGCTTCTCTTCTCTTCACCCTTTGCCTCCTGTCAGCCTGTGGGTATGGGGCAGTATTACTCGCTGCTGCTGACTTTTGGCAGTGGCTGAAGTTTTCAGATTTTATTGTCTGGATATGAATACTTGAATACAATTCACCTGATTTCCAGAAATGCTGCTGTTTGTTTTTTTTTTTTTCCTGCCCATCTGTTTTGTGGAGCTGTGGTGCTCAAGCCCTTCTCACCTGGCATTAGTTAAGTGTGAATGTATTGCCTGACTTTCTCTCCGTTGGGTCCGGCGAAGCGACGAAGAGTTTTTGTGGTTGGTTTGGTGCAGTGTCAGGTTAGGGACTGGGTATGAAAACTGTGGAGGGAATGACCAAGTCTCAGCTGATTCTCAAGTTCAGTCACTGAAGCTGCGTATGTACTCTTGGCCTGGAGCAAACATCACCTAAACGGTGTTAGTTTAAGTCTTGGTGAAAACTATGAAAGATAACATGTTTTACCTCGCATTTGCAATAGTTTACAAGCAGGCAGAGCATTATCACTGCTCAGTTGACACATACCAATTCATTAAGCCCTTGCAACTTGATCATGGATTTGTGGCCTTGGCGATGTGAGCGAAAATGCATGTGCTTGAACTTGTTGGTATGCCGTGATGGTTCAGCTGTCTTGCTTCTTTCAGAGATGTGTGCCTGCAAGGAGCCAGCACCTTTAACACAGTCTCGTTGCTCTGCCCTCTCATAGGTGGATCAAGTTTGAGGAGAAGGTAGAACAAGGTGGGGAGCGATGGAGCAAACCTCACGTGGCTACCTTGTCCCTGCACAGCTTGTTTGAGTTAAGGACGTGTATAGAGAAAGGGTCAATAATGCTGGATATGGAGGCTTCTATTTTTGTTAACCCTGATGATGGTTTCACTGATGGTTTGAATGAAAAAGCCCTGCTTTTTAAATAAAAGAGGAAAATAAAGAAATAATCCTCCAAGGAATAACAGGGAAAACTAGACAGTACATAGAGAAGGATAACAGGTAAATGAAAGGACTTCTGAATTCAGGAAGAAGAGTAACAGCATCAACTTCAGTGATAATTAGTGCTTACCTTGAACTGTTTTTTAGTGATTATATAGAGCCATTTGGATCCTGAAGTATGTATACTAAGTTATGTCCTAAGATGTCGCTTCATCTGTGAAAGGAATAGCATACACTGACATCATTTATGTTCACCACCAGAAACGTTACATGTGAAAGGACAGAGATACCTGGCAACTACTGCTTTGTGCAGAACACTGGCCCACATGGACATAAACTGCTTTCAGATGAGGTCCGGGGGTGGGCTGCTGAAGGCAGCTGAGGCTCTGTTTAGGATGGGGTGCTCCCCTCCAGCAAAGGAGAGTGAAGAGCAGCCACAGTACCAGCTGATGCTTCACTTTTTGCTGAATGGGGTGGCAGTTTTTTTGCAGTCAAAATAGCCGTGGCCTGGGATGACACGTAGTGACATTGCTGAGAGCTATACTGTGTTCCCAATGACATGTGAGCAGACATACAAAAATAAACTTTAAAAGTAAGCCATCCAGAGGAGATACATTTAGCCAAAACACTGAGTTTAGAAGCCGTTGTATGAAGAGGTAGAAGAGCAAAAAGAAATATAACCACTGCAAAACTCAGTGTTTTGAATTACAATCTCAGGAAGCAGGCTGAAAATTGTCCTGGCATGAAATTATCCAATATCAGGTGTTGCACTAGTTTGTAAGACTTGGAATTAAAAAAGCTGCCTCTGACATTATCTACAGTTTTGAGCTTAGTTTTGTAGATGCTTGTGGTGGCATTTATCTTACTTTATTTTTGCATCTGTATATCCAAATGCACAGTTTTGCAAAGTTTTTAAAAAAAAAAGTCCAAAGTTTTATGCTGAAGCTGAACGTGCTTCAGAAGATAGCAGTTGATGTCAGTGGTCCAAACATTTAACCCTCAAACATTGAATTTCTTTTTGAAATCACTTCAAAATGTCACTTTCAATATCCTTCTTGAACACTCAAATTAAATCTAATTCCTGGGAGATTAAATTACAAATCTGTGGCTGCTGTTGCGGTAACACTGTCCTGAGTGTGGTATTTTTGCTGTTCCAGATCCTTAATCAGATAGCTAGGGATGTCCAAGAAGCCTGCAGACTTGGTTTCCAGAATTATTTCGTCGTGGTCACTTGATTGATGTCTAGTAGTGATATGCAGGAAAGAAACACTCACAGAGCGCTCTTTGTTCATTTATATTATATCAGAAACATGGAAGGGAAGAGATACTTGCCAGAAGGAGAAGGATAAAATTGGTAAAGAAAGACATGTTGTTCTGAAGGAAGTATTCAAAAAATCACTAACAAAAAATACGAACAACAAAAGCTCACAGAAAAAAGGCACTTTACAAAAATAAAGCTTTTGCCAAACATTTTGTGTAACCATACCTACATGTATATAATCATCCTTTTCTGAGTTTGGGTGGAAGAACTAGGCTTCTTCCCGTAGTGATTTGAAGAGGCATTAATTCTTGAGCAGCATATAGAGGGTGACTTTCTGACTCACCGAGTTAGCAAATGTGATGCATGTTCTGCCTCCCCTTTCCCATAACTTTTATTATTAGCACAAATAAAAGTTACTGGTAGACAAATAAGAGCTGCCACTTTCCCTTGGGGGACAGCATGTTAACTGAAGTAATCAAGGGAATGTGAGATTTAATGCACAATAGAGATTCTTACTAAATCTGCCAACCTTTTTTTTATTTCTCCTCTGGGATAGGGGAGCAGAAAGGACAGAATTGATGGAAAGTGAGCAGTCTTTGCAGCGGGCTGGGAGTGTCCTTTGCTGGTGATACAGTTAAAGGCAAAGCCACGTAGTACGTACTGTGACAACTGGAGCAAGTTCTGCCTTTTGTAGTTGCCGTCATTTTACTTTACTTTTGGGAGTGAGTGATTTAATTAGTTACTCGTCCCCAGGACTTTTTCCTATCATTAAATTAGATTTTATTGGGGGCCTGCGAAGTGAACTCACGCCTTGTTGAATCTGATAGAGGCTTTACCATGTTATTTTTGGGAGCATACTGGAACTTGCAATGTAGTTGTCGCTTCTCCACAAAAATACAGAGTCAGGGCAGATTCCCTTTCTGAACTAAGAACCATCTTATCCTGGGTACAGCTGATTTGAAATAGGCTCAATGGCATGTACGACAAGAACAAAACAGAGTTGCGGTGCAATAGGTAAGTGTCGGTGGCTGGTGGGTTTTGCTGAATGGAAATGCTTATGTTCTGTTTCCAAACAAATGTCTAAAAGAGATTCCCATTAAAAATAAAATGGTGAAATCTGGTGGTGGTTTTGAGGTGGGAAGGAAAGCCTACAAAAAAGGTAGGGTGAAAATGATCCGTCTCTCTCCCCCTGCTCTCCCTTGATGCAGTGGAGTTTTGTGCTTTGTGTTTAATTCTCCTCTCCTCTCCCACACCCCTTTCTTTGCGTGCGACAGAAATGATCGTTGACAATCACATCGAGACGGGGCTCTTGAAATCAGAACTGAAGGACAAGGTCACCTACACGCTACTCAGGAAGCACCGGCATCAGACAAAGAAGTCCAACCTGCGCTCTCTGGCTGACATTGGAAAGACCGTCTCCAGTGCAAGTAGGATGTTTACCAACCCCGATAATGGTAATGCAGAGGCTAACTGGCTATAGCCTTCCCCTTTAAAGCAACCCACCAAACTCGCCCGCCGAAAACTAACTGCGTTGCCTTGACAATGCTTTTCTAACCCGTGATTAGCGTAGCGAGACCCGTACTGATAACACATCAGTGGTGGGCTCTGAAGGCTGCTTTGGCCGTGGCACATCGCTCTAACCATATCTTCACTGGACTGAGTGGGAGAGGAGGGGAGGTGGCAGGCAGGTGGCAGGGTGCAGGAGGCGCAGGGAAAGACAGAGACACTCTTGCAGCTGGCATGGAGGAGATGATGTCAGAACAACGACAGGAGAGAGAGATTAAAAAAACAGTGCCTGAACCTAGAAGGCCGATCATCTGAAATGTTTGGGCAGAGACGAAGCTTTCGTGTGCGTTCGATTTCTGTTACACATGGTGTCGATGGCACTCTCAATCAAAATTACGTGATAGTAACATCTAGCTTGCGTATTATTGCCATACAATCATTGTCCAGTGTGGGTAAAGCTGATTTCCATCTTGCTTGGTTTATCCTAAAATTGTTTTGTGATATGTGTTGTGAATATGTCTGTCTTTCTCTCTAAAAATGGTGTTATAGGTAGTGCCCTGTTTATAGTAGTGTCTATAACTGTGTGTGTGCGCATGGATGCAGACAGCTATAGAGGCCTTGGCAGTGACTCTGTACGTACCCATACATAGAGATCTGCAGTCTTCTTACTAGTGGTAATCAAAAAGGAGGAGTTATGTCAACTGCCTCCTGTTTCAGTCTGGAAATTTGCCCAAAATTTGCCATTTTAAAATATCCAGAAATGAAAGCAAGCAAAGAAGTTATTTTCTTTTTGCTGTATTTAAGGCCTCTTAGCTTTCTGTGTTCTGCTTCTTAAACTCACCCTAACATTTCTTCCTAACCTATTATCGTACTTCAGTAATATTTCCTACTTTTTATCATCCTTTGCCTTTTGCAACAGGTGTGTATGTGCATGTAAAGAATATTTATTGCTCTTGATGATGCATCTTGACATGTACGAGTGCCTTGAAAATGCAGTGATTAAGTGAATAACACAAAGGTGCGGTAACATGAATCAAAGGAATGTCCTGGGTGTGCAGCTTTTTGGTGAATATCCCTGCAGGAGTCTGATGGGGCAGAGAAGGGCTGTGCTTCGGAGAGCACTGTAAAGAAATTCCAGTTCTGGGGAAGGAGCTAGCATGGCCAGATATGGTGGTTGGTGCACGCTAAAGACAGGGGAGCCCCTTCCAGAGCATTCTGCAGGGAGGGGAAAGGTTCTCTTGGGCATCACTAGGTTTTGCTTTTGGCCTGCAAATTCCCACAAGCCTTGAGCAGACACCTTGCTAATTGGGTAATATACATGAGCAGGAGAAGTGCGTGTGGAGGGCCACATCCAAGAGAGGTATTGTTCAGGAACTCTAGCTAAACTGTTGCTCCTTGAGTCCCCTCTGCTCATTTCACGTTAGCCTCAGTTGTAATATTTGTAGGTGCCTTGGGTTTTTCTTGCCCTTAAATCAGCCGGGCACTTCAGATCCCTGAAGGATGCCTCAGTCATGTCAGGACTGGGCACCCAGTGGTAACTTGTGTTTATTTTCAGTTGAAATTAAGAAATTATGGTCTTTCCAGCACTTTCTCGGTGGCTTTCTATTGTGTCCTCCCCACTGTTTGTATGGGAGGCGTCTGCTTTCTCTTTGAAGAAGGAAACGGCTGTTGCAGGTAGAATACATAAGCATTATTTGCGGTGCTGTCTACAGATAATCAGTTACCACTTCCATGACTGCTGACTCTTTCTGGACCTTTGAAAAAATGAACAGGTTTGCTTTGAGGTGAAGAATCCCGGACTATAGCCATGCTGTATGGGAGACAAAACATAAGATGGACATGTCTTTAGCACACACCGCTCAGGTGCTTCAGTTGCCTTGTGCGTGGTGTGGGGGATGCTTGCAGTTCTCGGCTTCAGCCCCAACCCCCATTCCTGCAGGTAGGCACTGCGACACCGAGGGTTATGGTAACATGGAGAGATGATTCCAGGCTGGCCCACAGTACGCTTGCGATTCCACAGTCAGACCTAACCGCTCATGTTGCGTGGGAGACAAGCAGATAAACTCCTAATTGTTGGGGGTGCCTCTGTGTTTGGGCAATGATTCGTTTTTTTTCTATGTTACAGCTACATCAAGTTTAGTGTTTTATTCTGAGTGCCTGTCTCCATGAGTTCCTAAGGTGTAGAAAAGTAGAGAAACCTTTAGGATTGACTGTATGGCATTGCTATGATTAGTGCCTCCTTTGGACACAGCAAGAGTCTTAACCTAAGTGGTTAAAATAGGCTCTGCTTACAGCGTGCATCCACCTTGCACCTCTGTGTTGCATCTGTTTTTACCGCACCGTGTGCGTGTAACAGCCTCCTATTTTTTCAGCAGCTGTTGAATGTCGATTTCTTCCATTCTGCAGTCAAAGTCATTCCTTGAGGAGCCATCAAAACCTCAGGGTGTTAAAGACAGATTAAAACTTACTTAAGGGGTTTGAAGGTAAATCATGTTCAGTGTATTATTTAGCTATACCTTGAACAGTAAGCCCGGTCTCTTCGCTGTACAGAGCTAGACTTTCAGGGCTGGTTAAAGAGAGAATAATAGCATGCTTGTCCTGGGAAGGATGATGCTGACAAGGGGCATTCGTTAAAGTTCCACTCCAGCTCCTGCTTATTTTTCATGGCTAAGGCCATCCTTTACTCGAATCCGAGGTGACTTCATTTTTCATTCATTTATTTTCTTGTTTGAAGGGGCTGTGCAGGTCCTGTCTCATTTGGACTGATTCTCAGAAAATTCACTCCGGCTCTGCTTGGCCCGCTGGCTGACCTTCAGCCACTCTTCATGTTGTTTTGCCTCTGCTTCCCCACCTGGGATGTTTGTGTGTTATGACAATATATAATGCATTATGTTCCGTGACAGTTCAAGTGCTTTGAGGCTTAAGGAGGGAGAGACTTACATACAAAGTGAAACACTTCATGAATAGCTGTTACTGTTATCTATTATTTACACTTTAATGAAAAAGTAACTCCAGAGTATATTTGGTGGAGTTATATCACGCTCCCTGGAATTCAGTGAGTGCCCCTCATGTGCTTCTAAAGGCAGAATTCGTCCTTTAGACAGATAAAAATTTCATGAGGCCCACAGGAGCGCAGCTGTCTCTCACAATGGCTAATCACAGTAATGAAAGTTCCACCAGCCCCAAGTGCTCGTAAATTTCCCTGGAGTTTCTTTCCAGGTAGGTGTTTCCTTTCAGTGTCTACCTTTCATTTCAGCGTCAGTGAAACTTTCATCTAATATTCATGCTGCCGCCAGGTTCATGAGAATGGCATCGCTTACTTCTCACCTCTGCACAATAGTTTTACAGGCTGGTGTATTTGGGAAGCAGCTTGGCTTTCTGCTTGACTGGCGTTTACTGCTGTAAATGGGGGAACTTCTCATCTCTAGTTTACCCATAAAACGCATTGATGTAAATTACAAAACATCCAGCTCGTTTAATGGACACAGTTATTGTGTGTTCATTAAGGGTTGTTAATGAAACGATTTCTGCTGAGCTGAACCAGACCCTGCTGTAGGTTATGTATAAAAATACTGTGCAACTTACTGGCTCTTACTGGGCAATCAGAATTGATTCGGAGCCTAAGTTTTTTATAGGTACCTAGTTGTATTAAATTACTTTCAAAAACATTTATTTAGGAAAAACTTTAGAATAATGTTTGCTTCAGGGCTGTTAGGCTTAAAACCCAAATTAAATAATGACAGATTTCTTCAAGGGTGTTTGTTAGATCTGAAATCTGGAAATATCCCCTGGGCCATGGTTCTCAAAGCTATTGAGGTGCCTGTATCTCACTTATTTCAGAGGGCTTAAATAATGAAGTCTTAGTGCTCTAAAATTTTGTATGCCTTTGTTAGCTTCGTGGTAAGCTCGTATAAACTCCTGTTCTGGCATTATCTTTAATCATAATTAAAGCTTCTGAATGTGTCCTCTAATACTCTTTATGCATAAAGCAGGAAAAAAAGGTAAATAAGCAGAAGTTGCTAAGACTTTTCCTGTGAAAATTAGTGTATTTTCACTCCATTGCCTGTTGTTGGGAATTTCTCTGTGAAGCACCCCAGTCTGTGGCTAGTGCCACATTCTTCTTTCCATCTTCTGAGATGACCGAACCCTGTGCACTTATGTGAAATGCATGTAGAAATTCAGCCCCTCTCCTGCCATGACTGATCCCTGAGCGTCTCCAGCTGCTCCCTCTGCCTTTGCAGCTACACCTGGGATGACTGTGGCTCTGTGGTCCCTGGTAGCAGAGTCCTCCTCCACCCCCTTCTTCCATTTCACTGCGCTTTTTGAAGATAAGACTCAGTAACAATCAGATTGGCAGAAGCAGGGAACTTCTGAGTGGCAGAGGTGCGAGCTGAATGCCTTTTGTTCATTGCTGCGTCATAAAGATTGCTGTTTGGATCATGCTTGTGGGAGGATGCTTTCTCAGAAATCCTTTTCCTGTTGGGAAAGAAATTGGGCAAAAGATGACAATTTCTTGTGTGACATAGGATGGAGGAAGGTAAATCAAAGCACTCCTTTGCTGCCCATTCAGCAG